GTGCCGGAAAAAAAAAAAAAAAAAAAAAAAAAAAAAAAAAAAAAAAAAAAAAAAAAGAAATATTTTTCTTACCAAGAGTCACATGTAAGATTTTTTTCTTAGCCATTTACCCACAAGTTGAAACTGTTTATTTTTAGGTAGGTTTTTATTTTATTTTGTGCTTTTTTCCCCCTGGCCATGTTAAAATTATCTATATTATTAGATTAAGGTTTGATAAGCTAATTGTCAGAAATTACTCAATGTATAACTTGAATTGCATAATTAGACATGAATTTGTATTTAGCTTGCCACATAACATAATCAGTTTATAAGTGGATTGCTATTTTAATGACTGCTTTTTATTAAATCTAGTTCTGTTAACCATTAATAACCTATTAGTACTTTCTATATGCAAACATAAGAAGTTCTCATTATTTTAATACCATAGAAAGTATAAGCTGGCAGGTATTTTTCATATCAAGCAGTGTTAATGTACTGTTAAATGTAATGTTATTTTTTATTATGTATTCATTGCTTTTCTGTATAAAAGTTAAATTTTGGTAAAATTAGTCCATAACAGATTATATAAGATCAGCTCCATTTTTACTGTTTTGCAGATATTATTCTAATAGGTTTTTATTTTAAATGTTCTACATTAAGAACCTATTTAAAAATCCTTATCTTTGAGTAGTAGTCAATCTTGTCTGATGTTTTTATATAATTGTTTTTAATTATAGCATTAGGCATTTTTAAACTTCTGCCTTAGTTTTCAAAATATATTTGGTTTATTGGGAGATGAGTAGAACAATTAGAACTATTTGTAGCATAGACAGAGTAATTAGTGTAGATTTGGAAGAACATGTATATGCTAGACTGACATAAAGCTTTTGACTTTTGAGAGACCACACAGTTTTGAAGAGTTGCAAGCTTGAAAAAGGATGGCTAAAATAGTAAAGAAAGATATAGATTAAGGAAATGTAGAAAATGGGAAGTAGGGAGGTCAGGACAGGAATCTTTGTATGACAGTAAAGCTAGGAGAAGAAAAATGGAGCTAATGGTAGCTTTGGAATAGATTTTGAAGCATTTGGATGCATGCCTATGTATGCATTTATGTTTGTGTATCTCTGTGACCTAACGCAATAAGTAACGGTAGTATCAAGAATTAAACTCATCACATTGTTATACATAACTTACAAATGTTCTTTATTTGTTCCCAGGGACAACACTTAGTACTTCTTTTTTTTTTTTTCCTTTTTGTCTTTTTTCGTGACCGGCAACGGATTGCAACCCTCAGTGTTGCGCCCATACCGGACCGGGACCAGCAATGGGATCGCAACCCTCAGTGCTGCACCCGCACCTCGCTCAGCCAGTGAGCGGCCGGTCTGTATGTGGGATCCGAACCCTCGGCGGGAGTGCCGCCGCACTCCCAAGCGGCGCACTATAGCAGTGCGCCACCAGGCCGGCCCTACTTCTTGACTTATATATATTTCTGCTCACATATACCTTTAATATATCCAAATGACTTAAACCCTAATGGCCTTTGAGATCTCTACTTCTGTGTCTGAGATTTTGCCTTTGGATCACATGGCAGAACCCCATGTGGCCCTAACCCCAGACCTACTCACTGTCACTTTATACCTTCCTACATTCTTATTTTCACTAACCACATCAGTCTCTCCCTATGTCTTTTAATCTTGATACACCTTCCTATTCAATGATGAATCTGTTCTGAGGATAGGAATTTTTACAGTCAAAAAGTATTCATTCTATTCTCATGTTAAGGAAACACTCTAGCAGTTTGTTCCTCCATCTTCAGTGCCACCTTTCATTCCCAGTAAACTAACACATTTTGAAAGCAGTGTATAATGAAGTTACAGTTTTGACCTAATCTGGAAGTCACTGTATAAGAAATTGGAAAATGTTGTCTTTGAACAGTGTTCCACTTCCATTATGTTTGGAAAATATGGTTTAAATAGAAGTATTCTCTTGCAATGGAAGTGTGTTTTGTACAGAGGAAATAAATCCTAAATTACAGAGGCCCTGCTTATCTTAGTTTACAGTATATGGAGCAAGCCATAACAGGGATCTTGAAATAAATGAAAATATCTATACATATGCAAAAATTAAATATTTTTGGTTATTAATTGCATGTAGGTGATGATCCTTAGCAGCAAACAAAAGGCTCTGATGGTTCCTACTTTATCATCCACATTGAAAGAGGTAATTCAAAAAAAGTATTGGCAGAATAGGTGGGTTTTTCTTAACCATCAGAAATCTATTTTTTAAAGACCCATAGTTAATAAAAACAATTTTGCAAGATAGGTGGGTTTTTCTTAACCATCACGAATCTGTTTTTAAAAGACCCGTAGTTGGGCTGGCCTGTGGCTCACTCGGGAGAGTGTGGTGCCGATAACACCAAGGCCACGGGTTCGGATGCCATACAGGGATGGCCAGTTAGCTCAGTGGGTGAACGTGGTGCTGACAACACCAAGTCAAGGGTTAAGATCCCCTTACCGATCATCTTTAAAAAAAAAGACCCATAGTTAATTAAAACAATTTTGCAAGTAAACTGGTAATATATCTAAAATCTGTCATTATTTGGCTCACCAAACAAATAAGGTGTGTGTGATTTTCAACCAAGGCTATAAACTATATCAAATGTTTCAGGATGAAAATGTTAAAATTGATTAGAAGAGCAACTAATTTAAAGAAATTAAATTTTTAGACCTTATCCTAAGTGATGGTGATTGGATATTGAGGATTTGGGTTATTTTTATTTCCTAGGAGGTGGAATATGTGGCTTACTTTGTTTTTGATTAGTCAAGAAATTAAGATAAAATGCCTGACTAATGGGATGAAAAACAAGTAAATTTCTGTCCAGCCCAGAGACTGGAACAGAATGATATTATTAGCATAGTAATAATCATTTAAAATTTGTCTTTTACAAAGTGTCAGTTCTTAAGGAAATTTAATAGTCATACTTGTGTAGTATGTAGGATTGCTTCTCTTTCTCTATTTGTCTACATTGCCTACCTTTAGGCAGTTCTATTTCATTTACTCAACAGATTTTATCAGGGACCTACTATATATTTGGCATTGTCTCATGCCTTTTGGACTTTCAAAGTTACAAAGATTGGTGAAACAGAGTCTCTTTCTCAAAGAATTTTGAATGCTTTCTCCCTGTTGTGCCCTAAAATATTCTCAGACCTGTATTATTATCATAGGGGCATTTTTGTGTGGATGCGCCAGAATTAAACTTCAGTAAGCCTAGATTTGAATTTGTTGTCACCACAGGCTGTTTTTTTGTTTTTTATTTTTTTGACTTGAATCCTGTGAATCTGGTTCAATACATATTTGTTATTAATGGTACCTGAAGTTAATAGTCACCCTTGAGTAGAGCACAAAATTATTCTTTTTATAAAATTTTATCACAGAATGAATACAATTTAGAGGAGTCAAAATCTTTTGTAAATAGTTTTAGTGGTTAATCATGGCTTATATTTTGTGCCTTTTGAATATAAGTATATTATGAGAACTACATTAAATGAAGGCAAGAAGACACAGAAATAAGAAAATAATGTATAAGGCAACTCTTTGGGTTCTGTAGTCTTTCCTGATATTGACCGGTTGGTTTTGAGAAATGGTGTTGTTATATTTTTAATCTCAAGTGGCCCAGTAATTCTAATTTAGATGCCACATTTGAATCATTAAATCTAAAACAGCAACTGTGGCTATTTAAACCCGCCAATCCAGACAATCCTTCTCAAATATTACCTAAATAGAAATTTAAAGTACAGGTATTTTTAGCAGGTGATTGTTGAGAAGAAATTCTGAGTAATTATTGAGGAAGGTCATTGAGACAGGTCAGCTAGAGGAGGACACAGAGGCTGCCTAATGATTGGATGGATGCTACCTGGCTGGAAGATGGAGCTGATTGGTGGATCAAAATCTCAGAGGGAAACCTTGTATTTTTAGTTTAAATGTTTATTAAAATTATATTTCAACAAAGAAATGTTATGTTGTATGCTGTGTTTAACTATTAAAAGTGAAATGATCACCAGTGATGATGATTACCCTCCCAAATGATTGTTTTAAGTGATTTCTTATACATGAAATATATTTGGTTTGAGTGGTAGTAACATTTCCATTACTTTAAAATATGAACTTTTAAATTATAATATATTCAAAGTTAGAATACAACTTATCTTATGTGGTTTTCACTTGATGTTTATTTGCTGAAACCTATCTTTGTATTTTTTCAGGTTTATGTGAGATTAAGACCGTTCTTCAGGGAGTTCCTGGAACGAATGTCTCAGATGTATGAGGTAAATATGCTTAATTAAGCTAATTGCATTTGTATTTTTATCTTATTCAAAATAGTACCCATATTTAGATCATGTATAATGATTACTTCTTTTCCCCTGAATTTGTAGATCATTCTTTTTACTGCTTCTAAGAAGGTGTATGCAGACAAGTTACTGAACATACTAGACCCTAAAAAGCAACTGGTCAGGTAAATTTAATTAAGAAATAGTGGAAATGTCTGTCACACTGATCTATGAAATTATTATCATTCTATTTAATTATAATGGCCATTTTCATTTGGCTGCATATAGAGATTTATTGTGTTGAATGGTGAAAATAAATGAATTTTTTAAGCCCCAGAACTTTTTAAAAGAGTTTCTAATGATACAACTCCAGACAGACGTTCTTTAAAGGATACAAAAAATCAAATGTATTTATTCACTGTGACATCTATATCCTCATTTCTTTGGGGATTGGGGGAGGTGGGTTGTGTGTGTGTGCACATACGCATGCATGATGTTTCACTTCCTTATATCTTTGAGATAATGCATGTTATATTACCTTTGTAATGGCATAGAGAAATAAAAGTTAATTTTCACAGAAAGGATCAAATTAAACTCTTTTGCTTTTTTCAAGAACAAATATATCTTCCATGAAAGAGAATGTTACATAACTCTAACTGAAAATTACAGTTGATTAAGTCACTCAGGGTATACTGATCTGGACTCAGTTTCTTGTGTGTGCTGTGAGCCAGCAGATGCAGTGTGTTCCTGGTTAGGCAGGAGTGCTTGGGTTCTTTTAAACATTTTGAAAATTAATTCCATTATTTCTGTCAACTGAAGTGAGATATTAAGACTATAGCAATCTTGCTATATCCAAAGATATAGGAGTTACTCTTTGAGTTTTTGACCAAGAGCTGACACAGAAGGCTCATAAAAGCTTTAATAACTGAGTGTTAACTTTCTTGGATACGTTCTGTCATACTCTGTTAGTGGAAAATCCTAAACTTAATTTTCTACTGTTAATAGTACCTTTATTATTGAGTGGTTGCAACTATGCAGAAAGGCTTTTTCTAATGACCACATTTTAGACATTTTGTCCTTTTAATATAGAACTATGATGTCTTTTTTTCTTTTTGTTTTTTTAAAGTAAGCTACAGACACACAAATGAGAAATGGGATTTTCTATTCACTAAAGTGTATTGTAATTTATGCTAATTTTACCAAACTTTAATAAATTATACAATAAATACAAAAAGTATTTAATAAAGTATACAAATGATTTTGCTTTGATGACTTCATTCATTCTAAAGATTTCTGATCATCACCTCCAGTGTTCCAGGGAACAGTGGTGAGCAACACAAGCCCTTCCCTCTTGGAACTTTCATTTTACTGGGGAAGACGTCATAGTCATGCAATTTCAATGTCTTATAAATAAATACCCCTCTTTCAAACTATATTTATAAAATCTACACATTTATGGGTTTAAGTTTGTTTTATCTAGTCACATTTTGATAAACTTGAACAGTAGATTAAATTTGTTAAAGTTCTATAGGGAATTATCTGTGTTGGTGACAAGGTAGACTCTCAAATTGCTGTAATCACTGAATCCCATGAGTTCAAATATAAATTTGTCGACATGGAGGATCTGATTTTAGATGACTGGTACAAGTAGTTTTTTAGCTTTGTTCTAAAACTGCAAATACATGCTATTGGCCCTCAGATCCCTGAATAACTGGAGGGTTTTTACTGTAGTTCAGTTAAAATAACTGTGGTATCCACATACAAATTTGCTTGTCTCCTGTCTCAGTGAATTTGCTCCTATTGGCCAAGAGGCATCAGGAGTGACTTTCATTTACATGCTATACCTGCCTCTCTAATTTCTTCATATCTAAATGTTTATAGAAATAAAATATGGAATTTTATATTAGGCCGAACCAATACTTAAATTATTTTATTTAGTTTTGTTTTTCAAAGTAGGACTGTTTTTAAACCATCCAGAGGCAAATGATCATTTGACTCATTAGTAAAAGGGGAGCAAGAACTGTTTATACATTTTGTCTGTAAAATTCTTTCTCTTTGCTATCACTACTGGCACCGATATTTTTAAGGTTGAGCTTTTGTTTGTGTGTGTATATATATGTGGGGCCTTCTATTTATTTGTTTACTTTATTATTTTTTTTGGAGAGCTATGATAGATATTGTGGTTAAAATACCCCTTTCTTTATGAGTAGGCTCTGACTCCTGAAAAACTGTTTAGTGGGATTAGGACACAAGGAAGATAAACTACCAATTATTAATGTATAAAGAATGGAGTATTTCAGGGTGAAAAAAGATCAATATATCTGTGTCAATTACTAGTAATCTTCAGAGACTAATATTTTCAGTTTAAGTGGGGATTACATAATTATTACAGTATGTAAGTATTATTGTAAAACCTTTAATAGCTTTTAAAAATGATATAGCATTTCTCTAGTTAGTATCTAAAATTTATGATACATCAGTTTACATTTATAATACTTAAATCTCAGTTTACATTTATAATACTTAAATCGGAATTCACTTTTACATTTAATCCCTGTTTTTTTCAAATGATCATATACACACACTAAAAGAATTAGGGGTATTTAGGAAAAATCGAAATGATGGAATGTTTTGGTCTCAGCACCTTTTCTCAAAAAGTATAAGGAAAACTAAAAAACATTTTTTAAAATATCAACACAAAAACATTCCTTCTTATATTTTCTATTCTGGCATGTACAGGGATAGGGAGGCTGTGTGGTCTTCTGGTTAGAGCAAAGGACTGGGAGCCAGGAGGATCCTGGGTTCCAATGCGGGGCTAACCACTGACTTACTGTGTGACCTTGGGCAAGTCACTTGACCTCCTTGTGCCTCAGTCAACCATCTGGAAAATTGGTTAAAAAGCAGGACCTCGCTGACAACTAGATGCTGCATCTGAGCTGAGCTTTCCTGGGTAAATAAATTAAAAAAACAATTTAGAGTTTTTAACCCCCCTTTATAATTTAATATAGCATTTTGGGATAAACTGAAGTTCTTTAAGGCATGGTGATATTTGGTTGTAAGGTTTAATAATTGCTAAGAATTTTTATAGTAAAACTATAGCTCAAACTTAGGCCCATATTTGATTTGAGTTTCCTTTGTGAGAGATTAAGGCTTAACCTGTAAAGCCTATGGTATATGTATGTGTATATGTTTCAGTACATGTTGTCCTTTTTATAGAGATCTTTTAAAAATTAATTTGTTTTTATTTTTGTATTTAGGCACCGGCTTTTCCGTGAACATTGTGTTTGTGTACAAGGAAACTATATAAAAGACTTAAATATCCTTGGAAGAGATCTTTCAAAAACTATAATAATTGACAACTCACCACAAGCCTTTGCATATCAGGTAGGAAAAAAGTTGCTAAACAAACTCAGATTGGAAAAAATATAATGAAGACAAATGCTGTCAAACAATATGATAGGAGAAGAAAAGAAATTTTACTGGTGGAATTTCCCTGCCTGGTGTGTCATCTTTTAGAATAAGAAATGCCTAATTGACATATTTTTTGTAGAAAATTTTCTTTTCTTTTTTTGTCCTTTTTGTGACCAGTAAGGGAATCGCAACCCTTGTCGCCTGCACCACACTCAGCCAGTGAGCGCACCGGCCATCCCTATATAGGATCCGAACCCGCGGCGGGAGTGACGCTGAGCTCCCAAGTGCTGCACTCTCCCGAGTGTGCCACGGGGTTGGCCCTGTAGAAAATTTTCTTAAATGAAGTGCAACATCAGTGAAGAAAAATAATACACTATAAGAGATACATCATTTAATAGTATGCTATGTTATTAAATCAGTCATTTTATTGTAAACATGTTTGAGAATTACAGTTAGCCTAACCATGTTCTTCTAGTCTGTTTATTTAACATTCTGAATATTTTCTTAGACTACTTTGTCAATATATTTGTTCCCTTTGTTAATATTTCTTTGAAATAGAACTACAACTAAAGATGAATATACATTCTTGTATATTTGACATTATGAATAAGCTTATGTGAAATGATTTGTGAGATTTGCTTTATAATAAGTCAGTGCAGAATAGGGACGGTGGAAAGTGGATTGGGGTATAGGTGAAATAAGATTGGCCCTTAACCTTCTATGTTTTAAAATGTCCATGATGAAAAGATTTCAGGTTATTTTGTTTCTGGTTTCAGGTTATTATGCTAGTTGCTGGAAATAGAACAATGAATAGGACATGGTTTTTGTGATTTAAAAAAAAAAAATTGTGTGTGTGTGTGTGTGTATGTATGCTTTCTGATAGTGTTCTCTGTTTAGATTGGCAATATCCCTTCATTATGATGCCTAACACTGCACTATTAATAGCTATTTCTTGAATGAATAAAGGAATGTTTTTAGTTATGCTAATGGTCCTTGAAGGCTGGCCAATTAGCTGAGTTGTTTAGAGTATGATGCTGATTAATACCAAGGTCTGAGTTTGGATGCCAGTACCAGCCAACAAAAAAAATAAAATAAAATAATGGTCCTTGCAAAACTTGTTTTAATGGAAGTTTCTTGTTTAATTTTATATACACTGGGAAGAAGTGACACTGAACAACCAATTAGGCTTCAATTTATTTCTTAACATCTGTCTCTTGCACAATTGAGTTGTCAAAGCTCTGGTGGCATTCCTTTTCAAACAAACTTTTAGATCAGTGATTACTTAAATCTGCTGTTTCTGTTTTAAGCTTTTTCATTATTTATCATTTTAGCTTTCTAATGGAATCCCTATAGAAAGTTGGTTTATGGACAAAAATGACAATGAACTCCTAAAGTTGATTCCATTTCTGGAGAAGCTTGTAGAACTGGTCAGTATATCTTATAATTTATCTTTTTCTATTGTGTGTTTGTTAGCTCAACTATATTAAATATTTCTTCACTTTATGTATATTGACTTTTAAACTCAACTGTGGTAGGAGATTATGGCAAAGGCTGAAAATGATTGAGTGTTTCTGAGCCTTATAAATTTTATTAAAATTTATGCTTATTAGTATTTAAAAATTTATAGACTGAATGTACTACTTCAGTGGGTTTCCTCTTGCAAGTCACTTTGTGTTAGAAATTAAATTGATTTTGTTTTGCTTTCATAATTCATACCTAGAATTAATGCTTATGCCACTCAAACTTTAATCTGGGAATTATTTTCCTTTATCAGTGGTTCAGCCAATTTAAGACTAATGTAGAAAGCAGAATTCAGTGGCTTAACCCTTTCGCCTGTCTTTTGGTTTGGCTGCTATTGCCTGATTGTTCTTATGAAACTAAAACTTTAATGAAAGTTTTTGTTTTTAATCTAAATTTAATTCTAAATTAACCGCATCTGTGTAGTATCTCTTGCAAACAAAATAATATAAGTTGTGAAGTAGTGATATATTTTCTTTGCAAAGTCAGAATGTTTGTAATGTTATGAGGATCATATCTTTGAAATAATTATCTTTTTTCCACACAGAATGAAGATGTCCGACCTCACATCAGAGACAGATTTCGCTTGCATGATTTGCTGCCCCCAGATTAAGTACAAAAACTTGTCAAATCACTGAAGGGGGAAAGAATGCAGGACCCTTTTGGACTAAGACAAAAACATTGCCATTACTGTTGAAATTTTGCATTTTTGTACCCCGTCTTGCTTTTCTTATCTTTGGTGCCCAATAATAATCAAGGGTTACAGAAAGAGACTTTATCTATCTCAGATTGAATACATACAGTAGGTAGGCTAAAACAGAAGAGTCTTTAGAACTAGTGCGACTCCAGTGAAATTTTTTTATGTACAGACATCTGCAGTTTATAAAGAATTCTGTTTCTGCCACCAGCAGTTTGACCTGTAGTCACACAGGATTTTATGATAATAACAGAGATGAAAATGGACTTTTATTTTCTCTCTGTTTGGTGCTCTAAGTGGGTTTGTAGCCACTTTTCTGTTACTTTACGATTCTCATTTCAACAGGAATGGCCAGTAAAAGTTGTTTTATTTTTCCTGTTAAGGTTTATAACCTTTTTACATTTTTGACCTGTATTAGATTAGAATTTCATTATGCATTCCTTTTAGTTGAGGCGCTTCATAGTTTCCTGGAAATAGTCAATTTTTAGGTTTTTTATTATACATTTGAATGGCCGTTTTCCTGCTTTGTCTGCCTGCATATTGTATATTTGTTTAAAAATATTCTCTACTTTTAGTCCATGTAAGTTTCATTTTAAAAGACATGCATTTATATTTTGTTTCTGTAATATTCTACTGTAGGTAAAATCTTTTCAAAAATCAAGAGACTGGGTAGATAAGATATATGAATGACTAATATTCAAAAGATTTAAACCATTGTGATGGCTTGTATTCCCAAATGGTAATATCTTGCAATGGCACACAGATTTATGGATACAGGTATACCTCAGACTTCACTGTGCTCACCAATCTTTGAGGAGAATGAGTTTGGTCACCTGTTGGGCTTGATTTAGTTACTGCTGCCTTTGGTTTTCTCCAGGAGTGAAGTATTCAGCACAGTGATTCAGTATTTTTAGTTATTTTGCATGGGCTGGTAGTACCTCTGTTATGCTCTTGATTACAATCAATTTTAAAACTCTGTGTAACAGTCTTGGTACCTAACAGTAGCTATGCATAATCCTGTGGCACAGTACACTCCCAGGCCACCAATGCAGTTAATATGCTCTCATAGTGGTTTTCTATGCTATATGAAAATAGTCTTCAAGCCTTGGTTCTCTAATGCAGCTACCACAAGAGGTCAATATTTTTATAGTGGTGTGTAATCTCCTTTTCGGGAGGCTTTTTATGGAAGGTAGAATTTGTAAAAGTTAGTATGCTTTGCCTCTCGACTGCATTAACATGCCACAGGCTCAGACTGTTTTTGTGTAAAGGATGTCAAAGAACGGCACTTTTTCTAAAGAGAAGTTTGATATTTTGTATGCTTGTTAAGAAAGTACAGTATTGGAAATTAAAGGTGGACAACTGATAATTGAGGAGTATGTCAATTAATTTTTTATGTATATTACCTGTTTACTTGTACAACTTATTGTACAAATTACATGCAGCTTCATTTTCAAATGAATCCTTAAAATAAGGAAATCTTTTTAGGAAAACATTTAATTTTTGTATTTTTGATTTTAAAGGCATGAGTTATGTCAGTTTTCAGTGTATTAATGAAGATTTTAACTTTTCATCAGGTTGAGTGTTTTCTTACTATATTATCTGTTGTGTACGTAGTTAGCATATTGTGTCACTGAACTGTTTAAAAATCTAGCATGTAGAGCCTGTTTTGTGGAAAATCCTTATTCATTAAAAAAAAATCATGGCAGATTTTCTGCAAAAAAAAAAAAAAAGCAAAAGTATTTGCAATTCAGAATACTGATTTTTCTTTTTAATTTAAAGAAAGGTATTTTGCTTGCAGGAAAAACTACAGATTCATTTTAATGAGAATCTTTGAAATGTATTTATCTTTAGGGCATCTGGGCATCTTTATGCTGTTTGTCTTCTGTCTTTCTTGAAATAAAATGTACATATGTTACCTTTACATATGCTCTTGCTCAAAATTGTGAACCTAGTTACATTTCTCCCTGCTCTCTTCCTTTTTATGCTCAAACAGCAAAACCCAAAACCTATAGAAGATCTGAACTTTCAGCATGCATAATTGCCGAAAGTTTTCCTGATTAAGTAAATACAAAGGGCTTTCCTATAGCTTAAAGGGAAATGCAAGCACCTATACCATTATGCCTTGTTAATAATAAACACCAACTTTTCTAATCATCTTGTATTAATGGTAAAGTTGTTTTCAGTCCCATGCTAGGAAAGTTCCTTTAAGTAAACTGATAGTCTAATCTAGCATAACCGTAAGGAAAGGAAAAAAAAAGGGGGGGGGGGGATTTTTTATGGCCTGGATAAGTTTCTTGAGACTAATTTATTTTTTTTCTCTATTACTTTATTTGGGTCATTTTAAATTTAATATCAAATTTAAAATAATTTATAAAGAGACAATTTCACCAGCCTCTTTCCACCTAATACAATGTTTTATCTTCCCATTATTTCTTTTTTTCTTTATCTGTTGGTAGATGTTAAACGCTTCCATTTAAATAATTGGAAGTGTATATTTTTTGCATTGAGATATGCCCAGTCCCTTCAGCTCACACAGGAAATGTGAACTCAAAAAACTGACTCTGCTAAATGCAGGAGAGATGGATACCTGATGAGACACACAAAAATGACCTGTGTACATATTAAAACTCTATAGTACATTATTAAAATTGTGCTATTTCCAGTGGTAAATTTCTGGCTTTTATGACATTCTATTAAATATTTGTATCATTGTTAGGATGTTTTAATCAGTTCTGTTTTTTAATTCCATGTAATATATGTAGCCGTAATCAGATTTATATCACCATATTTCTCCCTGGGCCCTAAAAGAGAATTGTATCCATAAATTGTTTTATATTAGCTAGTATGTATATTTATTTACCCGATGGCTTTATCTGTTTCCCAGAATTTGTTTGGGATTTGTTGACAGCATTGTGTAACTTCTATAAATGGCTATTTTCTTGTTACTGTCAGTGAAATGGATGTGTACATTGTTTTTTAATATAAATTCTCTGGGTTTTTGTTTTTGTTTTTGTTTTATTTTTTTAGGGTTAATATAGAATGGTTTTTTAAAAAAGTTACCTTTGGCCAATGACTTTTTCAGCTAGATATTACTTTCATTCAACCTTCTAAAGAAGCTTGTTTCTCATTGTTTTGTTCAGTCAACTTGCCTGAAAAAGAGACTTCATCTCATCAGTGAAGAAAGCATTTCATTACTTCTACAAATCTTGCCAGCGAGCACAGAATTCTTCAGAAGGACCAGATTTCTTCCACGTCTGTGTCTATCACATAAAGCTGAAATGTAAAGGACACTGAAGCCTTCATTTAATTGTACTAATATGATGGTGTTATAATACTACATCATTAGCTAGTTAAGGTTTTCTGACCTGTCTTCTCTTTGTCTTCCTAGGTATTTATTTGTTATCTCTTTTAATCTTGTGTATCTAAATTTAGTTGATAGTTACACACCAAATAACTATGCCAAGCAACTAGGAAAGAATGTTTATTTTATTTCCCCTTATAGGGGAAGAGTGGACTGGGAACAAAAATGTATGGGCCAAAAGGCCTTAGGTTGTCATTCATTCACTTTCTTATTCCTCTCATGAGCTATATTTGAGTATAGTATTTTTTCAGTGCTGATGTGCTTGATATGTCATTACTTTTCATGTCTTTCCCTGAGTTGAAAGCCTGCTAGGAACATGTACAAAATACATTTAAAATTTTCAGAATAGGAACCACAAACTTAGTATCTTATATTTAAATGCTACTTAAATTATTATTGGAATCCAAGTCTCACTAACTAGGATACATTTTTATAAAATGTTTCTCTGTATCTTGAACTGAAATTTCTTGCCCAGAGGCAAGAGTTCTGGGGATATAAAACATTTTGAGGTCTTTTTAAAAAGGGGATAAGAACAACAAGTTTATACTCATTAATTTATGGTTTTGATATTAGTATTTTTAAGATACATCAGTGGTTCCCAAAACTGACTATTCATTAGAATTACTCTGAGGAGCTTTCAAATACAGATTCCTCAGGCCTACCCCTTGATTGAAAATTATCTCATGGGACATAGAGCAGGGCCTGAGAGTTCTGTATTTTTTTTAAAGCTCTCCTGGTAATTCTAATAGCCAGGTGTGGGAAATTGCTGTCTTAAATCATGTGACAGCAGTTTGAGAATAGGCAACAAAATAAAAGTTTACCAGACATCTCTTTGATAGTTTTCTTTTTCTTTTTCTAAACTGGGATCAGATTTCACAGAACTTATTCAAGATACATGGAGGAATAATAATGAAGATTGAGGCTACTGCTCATTATCACTCTTGTCTTTGATACTTTTTTTTAAGAGTTTGCCTTTCTAGGACTTGGAATAGTTGATAATATACACAGCTGAAGGACATGTCCCTGAATGAGACCATTATATATATATATATATATATATATATTAACTGTAAAATATTTCACTATTTTTTTATTTTATAAATCTTTGTAGAAATAAGCAATGAAATACTACTTTCATCTTTTGAAATGGGATTTTTCAAGGCAATGTCCTTTTGGCATTAAGGTAGGCGGAAGTTAATATTCTCTCTACCAGTTTCCACATGAATCAATATAAAGTCATGGACATTTAAAAATCTCAATTTAATTTCTACTTACTATGCAGTATAGCCGTGAACAAGTAATGTAGATTTAGTTTTCTCATCTTCAAATGCCCTGATCACCCTACCTCACAGGGTTGTTGTGGGGATAAATAAAACTTTTATGGAAGCACTTTTCTTTGATGATACTTTATCAGCCATCAGAGACAATATAGTTTCTAACAACTTATGTTTGTATAGTGCTTTTTTTGTTTGTTTACATATGCACTATTTTTTCACATTACTTTTTGATGTTAATCTTCAAGACAAACCTGTGAGGACCAGAGAGGGCCGCCACACAGCTATTCTGGGAGACTTGAATTCAGTCATCACTGTAACATGCTGTTTCCCTTGGCATTCTTGTATGATTACATTTGTACACAAATACAAAGCTTTCTCCAGTTTGTAAATCAGTTTAGACAACAAAATGTTCTTACAAGGGCTGGCCTGTGGCTCACTCGGGAGAGTGCGGTGCTGATAACACCAAGGCCATGGGTTCGGATCCTATATATCGATGGCTGGTTAGCTCACTGGTTGAGTGTCATGCTTACAACACCAAGCCAAGGGTTAAGATCACCTTACTGGTCATCTTTAAAAAAAAGTTCTTACAAAATATAAGGAATAGAGAATGGTACAAACTAGGCCTACCGATGATAATCCAGTTTTTATACTGGAAGGAAATTCCAACTTCTAAGTGTGCCTTTTTATTTTGCAGATAAGGAAATGCATCTAGAAAAGTGACTTCCCAAAATCAGAGCTGGGACTAGAATCTATGTCTAATAACCATTACTTGAAATAATGATTTTAGAAGGGAAGGCATTAATTTCTGGAACTACTGTAACCAGGGGTGAAATAAAACACTTGAGTAGACCAAGCTTATTAAGAAGGGGTTGCTTTTGAAAAGTAGAGGTGAGACGGCAAGGAAGAACCATTTTATAGTGAACTAAGATGAAGGATTCATATTTATATGGGCTAAACAACTTGAGCCAATATAACTATAAAATAGCACTCTAGTCCCACCCTAATCTGTGATGAGATTTGATAAGTATTTTCCCTAAACTCCAAAGGAGTTTGCATAGACAGGTTTGAGAGTCACTGCAGTAATCCTTAAATGATTGCACTTCAGGTGAATAGTTGATTTAGGAGCATGGTTAATGACAGCATGATGTTCAGAGTCAAAAGACCTGAATTAAAGTCCCTAAGAACTCTAGACGAGGCAGTTATCTGAGCCAAAATTTGTTCAGTAAAGTGGGTGCACTAGGACCTGCCTTTCAGAATTATAAAGATCAAATGAAACATCAAAGCATGTTATAAACTGTAAAGCAATATCCAAGAAATGTAACAGAATGGAGGTGTTAAAGCAGCTAGTTCGTTGAAGGAGAGCATGCAAGAGGGATGAGAAGAACTATACAGAGGGGTTTGGGAGTTGTCTGAAGCCAGAAGGCAGGATTGAGCAGTAGGATCAGGGTATTGTAGTAGGATAGTGGAGACATCACCCATACCCGTTGAAAACGTGTTTGATGAGAATATGTTGAAGACTAAGTATTGGTTTAAGAAGTCTAGCAAATACGGTAGGAGGCTCACATAAAGGACTTGCTAAGTTAGACGTGCATTAGTAATGGATGAACCAAATGAATTAGAGCTTTTGGTGGCTACCACATAGTAAGCTTTAATATTGTATTTTATGTATGACTATTTGTTGAAGGTAGCTATGAGCAGCTCTCCCAATGACAGTAAAAAGTCATTTAAAAAATAACACTACCTTACTATGTGTTAGGCACTATGCCAGGTTCAATGGCAGAAGAAAGCAAAACTGACACTGCCCTTAAGCTAACAATCTAGCAGTGGAGATTGACATTTATTGTTGAGAAAGGGGTCATAAAGGAGAAGAATGATTTCAAGAGTGCTAACAACAGTCATTTAAATTGAGATCCTTAGAATATTGAAGGACTAAAGCCAGGCTTGACTGTGGGGAGGGGAGGTTCAAGCAGGGGTATAAATGATCAGATCTGTCTTAAAAAGATTATGTTGGGGCCGGCCCGGTGGCGCACTGCTACAGTGCGCTGCTTGGGAGTGCGGCGAAGCTCCCGCCGAGGGTTCGGATCCCACATACAGACCGGTTCCCGCTCACTGGCTGAGCGAGGTGCGGGTGCAACACCAAGGGTTGCAATCCCGTTGCCGGTCCCGGTCCGGTACGGGCGCGACACTGAGGGTTGTGATCCGTTGCTGGTCACGAAAAAAGACAAAAAGGAAAAAAAAAAAAGATTATGTTAGCTGCTATATAGGGAATAGAATAGGTGTGTGGGAGACTAGTTAGAAGTTATATAATTCCATGCAAAGTACTGTATTCTCCAAGACAACAAATGGTTAATGCATTGGATGCTAGCATTATAGTGGACAATCTGAGGTAAGGAGATTGGTAAGGTTCTGGGGAAGAGTATGGCTTGTCTGGTTTACTGAGAGCTTACTAACCGTGTAGATTTGGGGCATTCACTGAAGAAGGCATGTTTTTTTTCCACTGGCCAGACAGGAATGGGAAGGTACTCTAGGATTTTATGGCACCCTACAAAATATAGAAAAATGTATGGGCATTGAATGGAGATAGTGTCATTTTATGTCTTACCAGATTCTTGGGTAGGTTTTTTCTTGTTTTTAGGTTTTGGTTTAAAATGAAAAAGTCAATTTGCTGTTTCTGTATCAAATCACATAAGTCAAATCTTTTATAAAAATATAATGACTCAGTAATTTTGGAATTTTCCTGCTCTTCAGCCTTAACCTATTTCATCTCTGAGATTTTGAGTGGCGCTTAAAGCACTTCCCTTAAGAAGCCATGAGCAGCTCTGCTTCATTCCTGCTGTCATTTACTCTCCTATAGCTTTAATGATTAAACTTCTTGAGGACAGAGGGTTTAATGTTAATTTGTTCAACAAACATATACTGATTACCTACTGTGCTCATCTGCAAAATGGGAATACTGTTATTTGTGATTAAAGGGCTTCCTTAGAAGCTTGTGAATCACCGGTTGGTTTTAACGACTAAATGAAGTCCCTAGCTTTCATTTCTAGACACTTGTTTTCCTGCTTCCTCATCTGAAAAAGCAGCATGCATAATTTTCAATTTCTGCTTCTAAAACTTATCAATGCTGCATACACATAGTCCATGTATTTTTCCACCTTCAACCTCCCCACCCCCGACCTCACTTTCAATTGCATGTGGTTAAACACTTTGGAGTTAATATCCCCAGAACCTAGAATAGTATTTGGTACAGGGTAGGCACTCAATGATTATTTGATAAATTAAGGAACAAATGAGCCCATATTTCAAAGTTTGGACCTCAAAGTCCAGAAAATAGATTCATTCAGTACACGCAGAATTAACTCACAAGACACTAATTTTTAAGCCAGATTTCAATTTTATTTACTGTCAGCAAGTTTCCTCCTTAACATACTAAAATCATAATCAGATGACTGCTTGGTAAAAGAACCAGAGTGAGTCTGTTGAAAGAACTGGGCAGGCCAGTTAGCTCAGTTGGTTAGAGCATAGTGTTGATAAGACCAAGGGCCAGGGTTTGATCACCGTACTGGCCAGTGGCAAAAGATAGAGTGTGTGTGACCCTTAATGGCTAATATCAAGTCAACAGGATGTCCTCATTGCTACTGAATACATATCCTACAAAAGTCTGCAGATTAGCTTGCCCTTTTCTCTGGAGACTGTCAAAATCATGTTCTCTGGCTTTACCTTCCCTACATTTCACCTTCTTTTTGTTAACATTTTTTGAAAAGATACATTGTCTTAAAACATATTCAGCCAAGTTAATACATATAACTCAATTACCACTTCAGAAACATAGCTTTGCTTTCCTGAGACTCCACCTTCCACCTTGGGGTAATTGCTTGGATCTGGCATCTTCTTAGCCACTAATTTACTACTCCTAGTTCAGACTAGTGCTACAATGCTGTGGGCTTTCTAGTAACGAGACATATAAAACATATATAGCTTGCTTCCTTGGGACCCAGCTATATTAATTTTTCTTTGAGACTACCTTTCATGAAGAGAAAAAATGATCAGAGGGGCAGTTTTTTCTTGGAAAGAACACAGTTCTGCAAAGAAATTTATTCATGCAGTCATTCAATGGTTATTAAGTGCCTACTAATACCAAACACAGACTTAAGTATAACACAGCATTGGCCTCTGTTAAGATTTCTTACTGCAATTAGACTGTACTAGGGTGTATATGTTTTTTAGCTGAGGCCAAGAGTGGAATTTACTGGAGAGAGATGGGTGTACCTTATGGCATTTAAGGAAGAGCTGGATAACTGGACATCAGGGAAGGCAGAAAGAAATAACGTGGCTTGGAAAATCATCGGTTCAGCAGGAGTTTGTGGCCCTCCCTTCAGAAAGCTGTCATCAGCCACCAGTAACCCAGGTTCTAGGAGTCTTGAGTTCCAAATTCTAAAACCCTAGAGAGAGAATCTTTCGGTTATCTATTACTTCATAACAAATTATTCCCAAAACTTAGATGCTTAAAATAACTTCTCTCTCACAGATTGGTGGGTTGACTGGGCTCAGTTGGGCAACTCTCATGTGGGGTCTTCTGTGGTTGCATTCAAATGGTATTTGGGATGGAATCATCTGAAGACTCAACTAGGATGGATGTCCAAGATGCTTCTTCACTTCCATGTGTGGCACCTCTGCTGGGATAGCTGGAACAGCTACAGGCTGGCTAAGTATTCCTCTCTCCCTATGCAGCCTCGCCATGTGATTACTTTGAACTTCTTCACAGCATGGTGGTCTTCAGGTAGTAAGACTTCTTAATTGGTGGCTGGCTTCCACTAGAGTGAGTATTACAAAACGTATACCTGGAAGCTGCAAGGCTTGCTAAGTGCTAGTGGTTAGATGTCACTTCTGCCCTGCCTATTGGTCAAAAATGAATCACAGGGGTAACCCAGATTCAAGGGAAGGAGACCACTTAAGGGCTTGAATACTGTTTACTGAGGGGCTATTGCTGGAGACCAGTTACCACAGAATTTGATGGTTCCACTGAGTTACTTATATCTCACCTAGGGGCAGATCAAGATTTTATATGGCTTGAAGAACATACAATTTAGAGGGCTTTCTTGAAGAATGGGAGGGGTCCATGCAGCAAGGGGCCCCAAAGCTAAAGCTTCATTAGCTTCACAGTTAATCACAATCAGCTATGGTAAGGCAGCATAAAAGGCTTTTGGGACCCCATAAACTCTTCTGTACTAGGTCAATTTCCAGAAAAAGAGGAATCAGTGTGAACTCTCTCACCCTCATCAGAAGTGTCCAGTGTTCAATTCAATATAATCTGATCATTTCAATGACTAAAAACCAGGTCTCCTGACTTCCAAGCCATGGATTTTTTTTTTTTTTAAAGATGACCGGTAAGGGGGTCTTAACCCTTGACTTGGTGTTGTCAGCACCACACTCTCCTAAGTGAGCTAACCGGCCGTCCTTAAATAGGGATCCAAACCCGTGGCTTTGGTGTTATCAGCACCACACTCTCCCGAGTGAGCCATGGGCTGGCCCTATAAGCCATGGATTTTTGAATATGCCATATTTCATAGTACTTTAAAATTAAAGACACACACACACACACACACACACAGTAGAACTGGAAAGATAACGAAAATTTTTTAAAAACTTACTATCCTCCCTGTACCTTTTTCCTCTGACTGCTCCTTAAATGTTGATGTCTTTCAAGGATTTTTCTCATTCTATGCCACCTTCAGATGCCTCTAGTTTCACGTGATTTCATCCATCACCATAATCAGGCAACTCTTAATTCTCCATTTGTAGTCCAGACCTCTCTAGTTCCAAAGTCTATTACACATTTCCATTTGGATGTCCCACAGAGATCAAAATTTGGTGGTGAAACTTAATTTACCCTGTATTCCTTATTATGATGAGAGGCACCATTCAGTTTTCTTTTTTAACCATTCAGTTATTTCCAAAAGCATTTATCAAGCATTTACTATGTGCCAGGCACTGGAAATACAGTAGTAAGTAACGCAGACATAGTTTCTGTGCTTCAAACATGTTAAAAAAGTAAACAAGATCACTACAAATGCTATGACAAAAACAGAATGATGAGAGTAACTGAGGAGTTTCCTTGCAGGAGGGAGATCAGGGAAGGGCTCTCTGCAAAGGGAGCATTTGAGCTTTGATGTGAAGGAGAAGTCAATCACACAAAGTGTGGAAAGAGCACTGTAGGCAGAAAGAACAGTAAGTACGAAGTCCCCAAACAGAAAAAAGCTTAATATTAATAGCCTCAGAGAGCCAGGAACAATGAAGTTAATGGGGGGGCGGGGGCGGAGAGAGAGAATGGCATGGAGGGGTTGGTGGCAGGTAGGAGTCAGTTTCATATAGGGCCTTTTATAAGGAGTTGGACTTTATTCTAAAAACAAGAAGCTATTAAAGGGCTTTCAACTGGGGGGAAGCAATGTCACCATCTGATTTACATTTTTAAACAAGCAAACGTTCTGGTGTATAATGAATGGATTGTAGAGGGAAAAGAGTAGAAGAAGGAAGACCAATTGGGAGGTTATTGTAGTAGGCAAGTCTAGAGATAGCTTGGAATAAGGTGGTAGCAAGAGACATGGAGTAATTCAATGGCTTAAAGATAATATTGGAAGTAGATCCACAGAACTTGGTGATGGACTGAATTTAGCAGTTGAGAGAAGGAAAGAAATCAAGGATAGGTCTCATGTTTTTCACTTGAGCACCTAGTGGGTATTACCACCACTCATCTCCAAAGGCATCATCTTCTGCTGCTCCCTTCCCCTCCTCCTCCATATCCACTCAGTCATAATATTTAGTCAGAGTTCTCTGATAAAGCAGAAACAATAGGATGTGTATATATATATATATAGGAAGAGATTTATTTTAAGGAATTTCGGGAGCTCCCAAGTCTGAAATCTGCAAGGTAGGGAAGTGGCTAGAGACCAAAGTTAAGATTTAATGCTGCAATGCGGAGGCAGAATTCCTTCTTCCTGAGGGTCTAGTCTTAATTTGGACAGACTGGATGAGGCCCATCTACATTATGGAGGGTAATCTGCTTTACTCAAAGTCTACTGAATTAATGTTAATCACATCTAACAAATACATTCACAGCAACAACTAGATGGGTTTTTAACCAAAAACTGGGTAACATGGGAACCATGGCCTAACCAAATCGATACATAAAATTAACTATTACAGTCACTAAATTCTATTGACCCTGACCTTTAAATATTTCTCAGATTGGTTCCTTCCTCCCCATTGCTGTTGTGTTCTTCTCATTTAATTAATTCCTAAAATACTTATGTATTAGGTACTTTGCCAAATGTTGGGGATACAATCGTGAATACGGTGAAGATAGGCTGTGCTTTCAGGGACTTACATTCCAGACTTTGTCTTGCCTCCTTTGAAACCACCGTCATAAATGGATGCCTGTTGATCACTGCCTCTCACACTAACTTGGCTGCAGAGTTATCTCTCTCTTTTTTTTTTTTTTCCTTTTTGTCTTTTTTACTGACCAGTAACGGGATCTCAACCCTCGGTGTTGCACCCGCACGGCGCTCAGCCAGTGAGCGGGAACCGGTCTCCATATGGGATCCGAACCCTCAGCGGGAGCGCCGCCGCGCTCACAAGCGGCGCACTCTCCAGTGCGCCACCGGCCGGCCCAGAGTTATCTCTTAAAAGACTATAAAATGTTTATTTGCAGACTCACTGAAAAAATACACAAGAAAGGGGCGCAATTGTTGCCACTATAAAGAACAGAGCGGCTGATCATTATATCTACCCTTGAATGTTGTGCCAAGTACGTGTACTACATATTCGAAAATAAGAAAACAAAAAATTAAAACATCCGAAACGACTCGCCCCTGAAAATCCTGCAGCGGAGCCCAGTGGCCCATCTTAAGCCATTTATGCCAGTTCACCTGTTCAGTTTATCTCCAATTGCGCCACTCAGTCAGGTGAGGGACCACACGCGTTCTTTCTACCGGAAATGCACTTGAACAAATTTCATTTGGTCTCTCAAACTCCAGTTTCGGCAGCGCCTACCTCAGGAAGCCTTTCTGGCATTCTGCTGCAGCCCATCCCACTCCAACCCACTCCACCCTCCACCCGGCCGCCGTTAGTTACCTTGTTACACATAACCTCATAACGCTTCTTTTTGTTGCAGTCATCACTCTGTGTCGAGATCCGTTTACACGGCTATCTTTGCTACTTGATTGAGGACAACGCTAGAGCTTATTCCTAGCACAGACCAAGGAGATGCCAAATTGTTCTGTGAAAAAATCAACGTGTCGGCCTCAAGGGGCGCACAGAAAGCGATAAAGCCTCGAGGACTGGGACTCTCTTCGATCCCTTCGTGACTAACTCTGGGCAAACGTGCCCGGAGCTGGCTCCGCGCACTCTGACAGAGAAGGCTGCCAGGAACGCGGCCCTTTCCACTTGCTCCTTCCTTGGCGCCCGGCTCACGCCGGCTTCCAGAGGGTCCCCTGTCCCCTAGCCTAGCGCCACGGCACCCTCCAGGGGCCGGGGAGGCCCGTCCACCAACTCCTACAGGCGGGCGTGGGGTTTAGACCCCTTCTCTGAGCGCGGCGTGGAGAGGATGGGGGCTCCTTGGTATCCTCCAGCGGCCACTGGCGGAGATCACAGTGACCAGAGGGAGGGCTCACCCTCTGGTCAGGGCGGGGCTGCGGGTGGCAGGGAAGGGACTGCGAGGACTGACGAGGACCAAGCGCCAGGCAAGGGACCGCCCTACTAACTTCCCCGCACTTACGTTTCTTCCCCGAGCCCAGGCTGGGAGTGGCAGTCTCCCCGCCCCACGAGCTCCAGGGGTGTCCATCGCTGTGAGGAACTGGACGCTAGGCCTAGCCCTCCGCCCCGAACCCCGCTCCGCCCACGTCCCCTCCCCGCCCGCGTGCGTCGCTGCCACCGCCAGAGGAGGCGGGGCCTTGGCCCCGGCGCTCAGTCAGCCACGGTCCCAGCCTGCCCTGCGCCGGCCAACGAGAGCAAACCCAGTGACTCACCTCCGCCGCGCTAACTCCTTGCTAGCTCTCCCCTTCACACACGCTCACACCCGGCTCGAGATGGCGGCGGCTGCGGCTGCGGCGGGGGACTCAGACTCCTGGGGTGAGGAGAAGTTCCGGGGGCAGGGCCCGGGCCGCCGCAGGCCCCACGCCGAGTCAGGCACTAACGCGACTCGCTCTCTTCCGTAGACGCGGACACGTTCTCAGTGGAAGACCCGGTGCGGAAGGTGGGGGGTGGCGGTACCGCCGGCGGGGACCGCTGGGAAGGCGAGGACGAGGACGAGGACGTCAAGGTGGGTGCGGGTCGGGGGGCGGGGTCGTATAACTTCGTATAATGTATGCTATACGAAGTTATTACGGACAGTCGAGTTGCCAGAGTTCACTGCTCAAATAATACAAAATTTATCTCGAGCTCTCTCCCTCCGTAATAACTTCGTATAGCATACATTATACGAAGTTATACGAAGGACGTCAAGGTGGGTGCGGGTCGGGGCGCGGGGCAGCGCGGGAGCGGGCTGGCGCTATCGCGGGCGGGCGGACGCACTCCTGGCCCACGGGCGCCGCCCGGGCCTGCGGGCTGTGGGTCCAAGCGCGAGCGTGGGACCCGGCGGTGCCCCCTTCCCCTCTGCTCGCCGGCCATGTGGGCCCGAGACGAGCAGCGTGGCCTCCCGGACTCCCTCGCCGAGGGCGGCGGCGGCCCGGACCCCAGCACTGCTTTGAGGGTCCGCGCTCTGGCCTCGATCCCACCCGCCAACTGACGACGAGAGGTGACAGCAGTAGCTGGACTGGCCCACGTGCAAGCCTTGCTGTCCGGAGCCTCTCGCTGGAATGTGGCTAGGAAGTTGGGAATTGAGCTCCATAGCTTATCCCATATGGAAAGCTTTGAAACCCTCCTGCCTTTGGAGCTCAGGTCTGCTCAGGGCCAGTAACTCATTTGGGACCCCGAAGGCCTATTTATAGTTTGTTCGAACGGTTAGATGAGTGAAATATTTCAACCCTTTTTTCCACAAGAGACAATCCGTAGAGTGAAGTAGCTTTTAGCTCTCCCTTCCCCATCCTGTGGTAAAAAGGATGAACTGAGCACTGAGACAGCCAGCAGTTAGTGGACAGAAACCTGGGTAGTCCACATAGCGACCTGAAAAATGGAGAGTTGACAGAGTTATTCATTTACACACGAACAACGCCTAAAGAAATATTGAAGATTTGGTAGTTGTAGTAGACAGGGGACTAATGTCTTTTTTTTCCCCCTTTGCCGTGTGGACCATGTTTACTTTCGTCGTTTGTTTTTGAAAAACCCCAGGGGCTCATCATATGGCTTTAGATGACATTGACTTCTGCGTGTTTTTTAAAAAGTAACTACAAAAGTATCAAGTCCAGAATGTTACGACTCTTATTAGCAAAGTTGTCATAATCTTGTTATATTTGTGCAGATAAAGTGTTGTATGAAATGTAAAATGGTTTTTCGTGGTTTTAATTTAGTGAATGTTTTACTTTCCTCACTTACACCCTTCAAAACAAACTGAGAACTCTTTTGCTTGGGTTGAAAATATTAAGCTAGATAATCACTTATGAACTTAACAGTGCTGTTTGAATTTTCCCCTTTTCTCCTGAGTCTGATGAATTGGATATCCAATTTATCGAACAGCCTGAGGTGCAGGGGATGATTTGATTGCACACATTGGAGTTGATAAATGGGTAATACTATTACTGACTGAAGATACTTAGATGCTTCATTTACATGTTGTGCAGACATGCGAATGGGTTGTATTATCAGCATCATTACAAGACTTTAGTTACTACCTACATTGTAGCAGATTTTCAGTTTTGAGCCATGAGTTCAGATTTGCCCTTTCACTTTTTCTGTGCATACTGGAAGTGGCAGTTAAGACATCTGTTATGAAAATTGGGAGTAAGTTAACAAATGTAAAGAAAACATTAGAGAAATCAGGAAAGAAGTCTCAGAAAATGAAGTTTAAGTGGAGTGGTCTGGACTGATGTCATGAAGTAGCCTGCTTGGGACTATGGAATCTAAATGGTGTCAATCCTGGTGAATATAACCATGATCACTCAACTAATTTTGGAGATTTATAAGTTGTAAGGGACCATAAAGATCATCGTGTCCATTCACTCTTTCAGTGCAGAATTTCTTTTATATAAATAACCTATTTCTCGTACGTAAACTTAGAAGTTGAACTTGGAGCTGGGAAGCTGAACTTGTACATTATATTTCTGTGTTGAAATGTTGATTTAATTCTGTTAATTCTGTTGGGTTTCTCCAAGATTCCCAAGATACGGTATCCATGGAGTAGTTTGATTCCTTGGTTTTGGAATGAGAAAGACCTGGGTTTATATTGTTGCCTTGACATTCCTAGGTTTGTGGTCATAAACAAGTTATAGTTTCCAACCTGTAAAATGATCATCATAGGACCTACCTCATATGGTTATTTTGTGTTTTAAATAAGATAATATATCAAATACTAAGCAAGGTTGCCTAGCACTTGGAAGGTACTCAGTAAGTGTTAATTCTCTCTCACTTCATGTTGTAGTCTTAATTTGGGGGGGCTAATGGAAAATATGTTTAAGCTATTTAGATCTAGTATCTGCAGTTTATTTTGTGCCAATTTTATGACTTCCTAAGGCCAGAAGGAAATGTAAGTGTTCTCCACAGTATCTGTATAAAGTGGATTTTGTGTTTTGAATGGAGTGACCATAGTTATCAAGCAAGTTTTTGCGTGCTCAGACGTTACCAATCTATAGTGAATCGTGTAACTAAATTTCTAAATTCTGATGTTTTACTACTTAATCTTTTTGTGAGGAGATGCAAACAAGGCTTAGTTTCCATGAGGTCAAATAATCATAGTCCTTAAATAGCATAATATGTGAATTAGAAAAAAAAATGAAAGTCCTCAAAAGCTAAGTATGTAGAAACAGCATGAGTTCTTCAGTTTGTGTCAGCATCTAGTGCTTAACCTTTAAGAATATAGGCTTACTGTTATGTATGATGTTCTGGGAAATGAAAGGAAAACTCAAGTCTTTGTTATAGTAATTTTGCTACAGTAGTTTACTGTCTTTCAGTAGACCTAGTATTTTGCTGTCCTTGACTTTTCAAACAGCTGCATGGCAGTGGAAGAAGTGGACTTAAGTGAAACTGTAGAGTTGTTAATATTCATGAGGAAAAAAGTCTATGCCTTTTTCTAGTTAAAAAGATGAGAACTAGGGAGCATGCTTTCCTGTCACTCTGGCTTTATTTTATCTGATGTTGTTCTGTCCTGATGTTGTACAAAGGCAGTGGGAAGAATTTTTGACTTGGTGTATGTGACTGGAATGATGTGTGTAGGATGTGTTGACTGAGAAAGCAGTGTGTACTTATTGGAAACAGGGACAACACAACGTTCACTCCATTTTACTAGTTTCCCAGCATTTCAGTAGAACAAGTTAGAAGTTAAATTAATTCAAAGGGCGTAGAGTTTGAGGAAACTTCTAGCTTTGTTCAACCATCTCAGGCAGTATAATACTCAGAAGCATAATACTGCTTCTTTGGCAGTATTGTGGGATTTCTTAAAAAGAGATCCTACAGAACTGACTTAGTTGTAAACTGCCTGTCTCATCCTACTCTTTCACCTTCTTTTAGGATCCTATTTCAATTAATAGTTTAAATCTACTAGAGTAAGGACATTTTTTAAGCATTGGAAATAGCACTTCTGAAGAACAGGATCTGTATTTTAGAGAAATATAAGATTATTGGTAAATAATACTCAGAAGATGGGTGTTTTGCTAGAAAATGGGTATCTTGCAGAGAGACAGAGTGTATGTGTATGTGTAACTTTTTATGAAAAATTCTACACATACAGAAGTAGAAAGAAAAGTTAATAAACTCATGTTCAATTTATTTCCTCTGTGTCCCCACTTACTCCTTTCTTTCCTCAACCAGATTATTTTTTAATTTTTATTTATTTTATTTATTTTTCTTAAAGATGACTGGTAAGGGGATCTTAGCCCTGACTTGGTGTTGTCAGCACCACGCTCTCCCAAGTGAGCTAACCAGCCATCTCTATATAGGGATTCGAACCTGCGGCCTTGGTGTTATCAGCACCACACTCTCCCAAGTGAGCCACGGGCTGGCCCTCAACCAGATTTTTTTTTTTTTTCCTTTTTGTCTTTTTTCGTGACCGGCAACGGATCGCAACCCTCAGTGTCGCACCCGTACTGGACCGGGACCGGCAACGGGATCGCAACCCTTGGTGTTGCGCCCGCACCTCGCTCAGCCAGTGAGCGGCCGGTCTGTATGTGGGATCCGAACCCTCGGTGGGAGCGCCACCGGGCCAGCCCTCAACCAGATTATTTTGAAGAAAATCCCAATCACGCTGTTTCTGCTTCCTAACAATTTTTATAAAGTAGCAGGTTTTGAATTAGGACATAT